ATATATATATATATATATATATATATATAAATTAATTAATATATTTATTTATTGCTGCTCCTGCTGCTGCTGCTTTTGCTGCTGTTGCTGCTGTTTTTTTTGCGGTTATTTCTGTAATTTTTGAGTGTTTTATGGTTTCTGAGGGTTTTAGGGTTTAGGGTTTAGGGTTTAGGGTTTAGGGTTTAGGGTTTACCTTTTTTCTTATATCTCTATCCATAAGTAATTGTTGCTGCTGCAGTGCTTTTTGTATAATATGTACTCTCCTGCTGCAGCAACCTGCTGCAGTAACCTTATAAGCAGCAGCAAATAAGGAATTAATTGCTGCAGTATGTGCAGCAATTGGATCAGGTGTACGTACACCGCAAACCCTTCTCTCTGCTATATCTAATAAATCCCCTATAGGTAATGTACTCTTAGGGTAATAAGTTATGCTGCTGCTGCTGCTGTATAACCATGGTGCTGCTGCTGATTCCTGCTGCTGCTGCTGCTGCTGCAATAAACCTATTGAACATAAACGATACGCCTGGCTTGATGTTAAATTACTAGGATTCCTGCTGCTGCTGCTGCTGCTGCTGCTGGAATATATATATAAATTAATTAATATATTTATTTATTGCTGCTCCTGCTGCTGCTGCTTTTGCTGCTGTTGCTGCTGTTTTTTTTGCGGTTATTTCTGTAATTTTTGAGTGTTTTATGGTTTCTGAGGGTTTTAGGGTTTAGGGTTTAGGGTTTAGGGTTTAGGGTTTAGGGTTTACCTTTTTTCTTATATCTCTATCCATAAGTAATTGTTGCTGCTGCAGTGCTTTTTGTATAATATGTACTCTCCTGCTGCAGCAACCTGCTGCAGTAACCTTATAAGCAGCAGCAAATAAGGAATTAATTGCTGCAGTATGTGCAGCAATTGGATCAGGTGTACGTACACCGCAAACCCTTCTCTCTGCTATATCTAATAAATCCCCTATAGGTAATGTACTCTTAGGGTAATAAGTTATGCTGCTGCTGCTGCTGTATAACCATGGTGCTGCTGCTGATTCCTGCTGCTGCTGCACGACGAGCAATAAACCTATTGAACATAAACGATACGCCTGGCTTGATGTTAAATTACTAGGATTCCTGCTGCTGCTGCTGCTGCTGCTGCTGCTGCTGCACGACGACGTGCTGCTGCTGCTGCTGCTGTTGCTGCTGCTGCTGTTATAAGGCCAATTTCTGCAATTATCAGGTCGTTTTTCTCCCTGTTGCTGCTGCAGTTGCTGCTGTTCCTCTTTCTGCTGCTGCTGCTGCTGCTGCTGCTGTTCCTTAATTTGCTGCTGCAGCAGCAACCATTCTTGTGTTCCTTGTATAGGTAATAAATAAGGATTAAAATTAATATAATTAATAAAGGATTTATCTTGGCCACCAATAACTAACATAAACCACGAATTAGGGTTTTGTTTTAATTCAGATAAAAAGGATAAATATTCACATAATTCTCCTGCAGATATATACTCCTGCTCTTGCTGCTGCTGCTGCTGCTGCTGCTGCTGCTGCTGCTGCTGCTGCTGCTGATGCTGCTGCTGATGATGACGGATAAAAGTATTCGCAAACACGTATAGATTAGCAAATTCAATTATTTTATTGGGAGGAAAATTCGTTAAAATCGCATCTAATAGCTGAAACACAAACCCTAAACCCTAAACCCTAAACCCTAAACCCTAAACCCTAAACCCTAAAACCCTAAACCCTAAACCCTAAACACTAAAATCATAAAGTATGTTGAGAGGAGTTAGTGAGGAGTTCTGTACAGCTTTTATAATTAGGGTTTGGGGTTTGTGGTTTGGAGTATAGGTAGGCCATTAGGGTTTAGGGTTTAGGGTTTAGGAGGAAGGTGTTGTTAATTTACCTTCTCCCTTATTGCTGCTTTTTGCTGCTGCTGCTCTTGCTGCTGCAGCAGCACATCAGGGTTTACGAGGGTTGCTTTAGGGAATGAACGCCGCAGCAAAACACTCCATATTTCTTCATCAGAGGCAACCTGCACCAAACCCTAAACCCTAAACCCTAAACCCTAAACCCTAAACCCTAATGGGGGTATAATGTCATGCAACTTTTGCTCATAGTAAGGAAACTAGTTATAGATATATAAACCCTCTATGACAAGCTACCAATTAGGGTTTAGGGTTTAGGGTTTAGGGTTTACGTCAGCTGTAGCTCGGCAGACAAGAGAAAAAGTTAATACATCTTTTGCTCCTAAGAAACTGCAAATCAGCCGCTGCAGTCCTTTGCTTCCTAGGGCTAGCTGCAGCAGCAGCAGCAGCAGCAGCAGCAGCAGAAGCGCAGCAGGGAATGTAACAGAAGCAACGACAACAACTCCAGCAGCAGCAGCAGCAGCAGCAGCAGCGGCAGCAGCAGGGCTGCAACTGTGAGTGCAACAGCAGCAGCAGCAGCAGAACCAACGAGACTAACGCAGCAGCAGCAACAGCAACAGCAACAGCAGCAGCAGCAGCATAACTTACCTCTTGAGGTGGTGGAGACTGCAGCAGCACAAACAACTCCCTGTCTGCCTCTGTCTCCTCTTCCTTCTGCTGCTGCTGCTGTTGCTGCTGCTTCTGTTGCTCCTTTTGCTGCTGCTGCTGCTGCTGCTGCGGCTTCTGTGGCCAACAGAGTGGGTCTTCGTTACGAATTTCTACTTGGTCCCAATCTATGTCTTCCTCTTTTTGCTGCTGCTGCTGCTGCTGCTGCTGCTGATGCTGCTGCTGCTGTTGCTGCAGCAGCAGCAGCTGCTGCTGCAGGAACTTAATACGATCATCACACTCCTTCTTTGTGCCTACAAACAATCTGCTGCTGCTGCTGAGTATATCCTGCATGCTGCGGCGCAGCAGCAGCAGCGCAGAAGCAACAAGTTGTTGCTGCTGCTGCAGCAGCAACAAAGTTATTTCTGCTAATGGCAGCATGCGTGGCTGCTGCTTCTGCTTCTGCAGCAGCAGCACAACACACATCTGCAGCTTTTCTTCGCTCTCTTTTAGCTGCTGCAGCTCCTTCTTCTTTTGCTGCTGCTGCTGCTGCCCCCGCTGCTGCTCCTCTGCAGCATCAGCAGCAAGCCATCCTTCTGTAACAGCAGGACCCAATGCCTCAGCATTGGGAGCCATTTTCTTACAAACCCTCAGAAACCCTAAACCCTAAACCCTAAACCCTAAACCCTAAACCATAACTTCCCTTTGCCCTAGGGCAGGGCACCCTAGGGGAGGGATAAAAATAGCGTAAGAAACATAACAGTTAATAAATTAATATATACTTTTTTATTTCTCTATCTAGGGTTTAGGGTTTAGGGTTTAGGGTTTAGGGTTTGCCGGCTGTGCATGCCGGGGGCCCCGTTGTGACTCGTGAGAACGGGGCCCTCTTGTTCGAAGACTTCAAGAGGAAAAGGCTGAGGGTTTAGGGTTTAGGGTTTAGAGATTAGGGTTTAGGGTTTAGGGTTTATTTAAATATGTATTAGTTGTAGTTTCCTTTCTTCTTCCTTTACCCAAGGTGTTTAGGGTTTAGGGTTTAGGGTTTAGGGGGCCCCCCTGCAGACACCCAAGTAAGTCGGGTGTATACGAGGGTTTATAGTAGTTCGTTGTTGGATATACGATAAATTATGATTTAATGTTTAGGGTTTAGGGTTTAGGGTTTAGGGTTTAGGGTTTGGAGGACCCGATGCTTGCAGGCTGCTGGGGGTTATTGTGGGCACCCCCCAGCAGCGACATATTTCAGCTGCCCCTAAGGGTTTAGGGTTTAGGGTTTAGGGTTTAGGGTTTAGCAATGAAGGGGAATAATAGATTTAGGGTTTGCTGCAGGAGTTGCTGCAGCTGGGGTGTATATACACCTGGTAGATTCTTATCTTTTTATTTATTTCTTTTCTCTCTTCTTCTTCTTATATCTACACATACAGCAGCATCAAGTCTTCTTCTCTCCCGCAGCAGCTGCAGCAGCAGCAACTGCAGCAGGAACTTCAACAGCAGCAGCAGCAGCAGAATTGCTGCAGCAGCAGCAACCCGCTGCCTGCCCCCTGCATGCATCAGCAGCAGCATTGGTGACCCCTTTCGTGCTCTATGGCGCAGCTTGTTTAACAAATCTCCAGCAGCAGCAACACCAGCAGCAGCTGCTGCTGCCGCTGCTGCTGCTGCTGCTGCAGCAGATAAAGGAGCAGCATCTGCTGCAGATATAGCAGCAGAAGCAGCAGAAGCAGCAGCAGCAGCAGCAAACAGGCAGCCTCCAGCAGCACACCTGCATGATGGCATCAATGAGGCATTATTGAATGGCAGCAGCAACACAGCAGCAGCAACTGACGAGGAGACAGCAGATGCAGCAGCAGCAGCAGCAGCAGAAGCAGCTGCAGCAGAAGCAACAGCAGCAGCAGAAGTAACTGCTTCATTAGGAGGTCGGTTAACTCGAGAGCCTGATGCAGCAGCAGCAGCAACAACAGCAGCAGCAACAGCAGCAGCAGCTGCAGCAGCAAGATCCCCACTATCAGCAGGACTTTCATTAGCACATATAAAAAGCCCTACTGCAGCAGCAACAACAGCAGAAGCAGCAACAGCAGCAGCAGCAGCAGCAGCAGCAGCAGCAGCAAGAAATTATTACGAATAGAATTAATTCCTTTTATTTCTTTTTTTGGTTTTTTTCGTTTTTATCGAAAAAATACAAAAAATAAAATTCTATGGTTTAATATTAATCATAATTTTAATGATTTTTATCTATTTGCTCCTTTTAAGGTAAATTAATTAATTAATTTATTTATTTATTAATTAATTAATTAATTTATTAATTAATTAATTAATTGTCTATTTATTTATGTATTTATTTATTTATTTATTATTTATTTATTCGTTGGTTTAATATAAATCATAATTTTAATGATTTTTATCTATTTGCTCCTTTTAAGGTAAATAAATTAATAAATAAATTAATTAATTAATTAATTAATTAATTAATTAATTAATTAATTAATTAATTAATTAATTAATTAATTAATTAATTGTGTATTTATTGATGTATTTATTCATGTATTTATTCTTAATCATAACTTTGATGATTTTTATTTATTTGCTACCTTTAAGGTAATTAATTATTTATTTATTTATTTATTTATTTATTTATTTATTTATTTATTTATTTATTTATTTATTTATTTATATTAATGCTGATTTATTTAAGGTATTAAATTATTTATTTATATATACAGACACAGGAGATATAAATATATGTATATGTTGCTGCTGCTGCTGCTGCTGCTGCTGCTGCTGTTGCTGCTGTGTGCATGCAGGTGTTATTATTACGTGCAATATTGGATACAAAAGGAGTATTACCTATAATAATATATTTATCTTGTTGTTCTTGTTTATTAATAAATAAAGAAAAAATAAATAATTTATTTATTTCTTTTCTTCTTTCTTCTTATTTATGGAGAAAACATTCATTATGGTCTCCTTTATTGCATGCACCTCCTGCATTGGGGCTGTTATTGCTTCGTTTGCTGCTTAATTCTGCTGCAGCAGCAGCAGCAGCAGCAACTAATGCATGCAGAAATAAATTAGAGGAAATAGAGGCTAATTGGCTAGAGGAGGCAATCAAGGAAAATATACATATTAATAATACAGAGGCACACCCTGCAGCTACCTGTAATCCAGCTACCTGTACAGTAGCTAGCCGCAGCAGCTAGCTGCTGCTGCTGCTGCTGCTGCAGCTAGGTGCTGCTGCTGCAGCTAGGTGCTGCAGCACATAGCTGCAGCAGCAGCAGCACCTAGCTGCAGCAGGTAGCTACCTACATGTACAGTAGCTAGCTGTTGCTGCAGCACACAGCTAGCCGCAGCTAAGTTAGCTGCCGCAATCCTAGCTGCAACAGCTAGCTGCAGCAGCTAGCTGCAGCAGCAGCTAGCTGCAGCAGCAGCTAGCTGTATATGTAGGTAATTAAATAAATAGACATTTTTATTCCCTCTTTTTATTCTTTTGTTAATAAAGAAGAAAAGAAGAAAAATAAATAAAATAAATCTTCTTTTCTTTCTTTTTATTCCTTTTGCTGCAGTGTATATTTAGCTGTATTAATACAACAGCAGCAACAGCAGCAGCAGCAGCAGCAGCAGCAGCAACAGCAGCAGCAGAAGCAGCAGAACTAACAGCAGCAGCAACACTTAATTTAATTTTATTTCCTTTTTAGTACAAATAAATATTTATTTTATTTATTTCCTTTAATTATTAATTAATAAATATATATTATATAATATAATATAATTAATTATATATAATATAATTATATATAATATATTATTATTATATATATAAATATATATACATATAAATATTCTTGTTGCATGCAAAGAAAGAAGAAAAAAAAAAAGAATATTCTTGTATACAATAAAAAAAAGAAAAAAAAG